CAGGAACACATTGAATACGAAGCAACGTGCTGGTCATAAGAAAAGATCCTGTGCATATTTATTTAATGAATGTCGTATTAGGTGAACCCATTGCCCACACCAGCTACATATGGAGCATCGCGCCGGTCATAAGATAATATAGTGAACATAATGAAGAAATGCGATATTATGTGATCCCATTACCCACACCAGCTCCATGGAGCATCGCGCCGGTTATAAGATAATATAGTGAACATAATGAAGAAATGCGGTATTATGTGAACCCATTACCCGCACCAGCTTCATGGCGCTCACGTTAAAGATGGCACATTCTGTTCACGGTAGACGACGCTTGCATTCCACGAGCACCAGGCAGTGAGCGCTCGCCTTTAGTTCACGAAGGCGTTGTTTCGGGAGCATCGCTTCCGCTTCACGGCCGTGAGCACACAGCCTTTTATTTTAGCGGAATACATCCGAATTTAAAATATTTTCTGTCGAACAAGAATGAATCGTTAGAATTTCACTAGATTTTTGAATGCAATTTCATCGGCGTGGCAATCTCTGGATAAAGAAAAAAAATGACACGTAAAATTTCTTTAGCGAGCAATACAGTTTCTTATTTAGCGACTTATTCTATCTTTTTGTGAATTAAAGTAGAGGCAATATCAGCCAAACGATGTACCTTGATGTGTCCTGACATGCCACATGTTAATGTTGCACGTCTACTGCAGCAAGGGATTTTAGATGAAAAAATATCAACTGTGGAAGTTTTTTTTTTCGTTTGGAAGATATTCTTTCAAATGGAAGATCATGAAATGTCAGGAAAAAAAATTTTGATCGTGCTCGAGCGTCACAACGTACAATGCTAATGCTATTTCGGAACAATCGTTCGAAGTAAACATCATGGACGAAAAACGCTTCCATAATGTGTTTTTGAATTGAAATTATTCGTCACTTTGTCTTAGTCACAATTGGTCACTTATAATTTGAATGCTGACCCCCATGAGAAAGTTATTACAGTAAGTCATAACTTATTGAAAGTATTATACAACTTATAACACATTTTAAAAACTATATCTCTAAATACTGGCTAACCGAATGACCGTGCGTCGACAAGTTGAAATCAAAAGATTTCATAAGACGACTGACCACACGTTTACTGTGAAGCTTCAGAAGTAATGGCATTTGTTATACTAAAGAATGCGGTGTCACAGGCGGCAGACGAAATGAGCTTCTTAGCGAACGCTCGATTCAACTCATTCCGACCGGGGCTTATACAGGGTGCGGCGCGGGAACTTACTTATTTGAATTGCGCGCCACGTGGCGGCCATTAGTCCTTGGAAGGTGGCGCCATGCGCAATATGGTGCGCGGGCTATGAAGTTTTTCGTCCACTCAGTTCAGTTGCGACCATGCAGTGGTCGAGAGAGGAGCGCGCGTTCGCAGTCTCTGTGTACTNTAATTGAGCCTCGCAGCGCATCACCTGCGGCTTCTGCCTCGAGAAAGGGAAATGCTGAATTAGGCCGGGTTTGGGGTTCTCTTTAAACTTAACGAGCACTTTGGTTAAATGATTAATAAAAATTAGTGAATAAACAGGAGCGTTACCAGCGTAACGTGAGCACGCGGCCTACGTTACCAGCGTAACCAGGATAAAGAATATAAAACAGAATTTCATTGCCTATCATCAAATTGAGTTCTTTGATAGCAAGAAATTCGTAGCCATAAATTCAAACTAAATATCAGTCGACTATTGTTTGTGATGTTATAAAGACTCATTTTGTGATCAAATAATTTACACTGAATCGTCGATCCGAATTTAAGAAAATACGTTAATTTAAATTTCGATGCGAGCTAAACTGATCCAATTAAATTGTAATGAACGCGATCATTAATGCGGCAGGAAATCGGACTCGTGTTTTGATCGGAAGCGAAGTTGATACTCCAATTAGAGTGTTTACTCAGTGTAATGCCCACTCCTTTAATTTAAAATATACTGCCATAACTGCAGGCTCAGCGTGCAGGTGCAAGTGCACTGCCATAACTGCAGGCTTAGCATGCAGGTGCAAGTGCACTGCCATAACTGCAGGCTCAGCGTGCAGGTGCAAGTGCACTGCTATAACTGCAGGCTTAGCGTGCAGGTGCAAGTGCATTGCTATAACTGCAGGCTTAGCGTGCAGGTGCAAGTGCACTGCCATAACTGCAGGCTTAGCGTGCAGGTGCAAGTGCACTGCCATAACTGCAGGCATAACTGCAGTGTTTAGTGCATTAGTGCATATGATACAAATTGATACTCATATGTGCTTCCGGGTGCATTGCCAGTTAAAATATTTTCTTTTGCTGTGTTAGCACTTCGATGGAAAAATTTTCCATTTAATAAATTTTACAATTATAGTGAAACTTTAATGCTGCCTCCATTGCAAGGGTGCTTGAAACGTCGATTATTTGTTGATACAACAAGCTTGTTTCCATTAATTTGTGTGAATTTGAGAACCTTTCCCGTGCTCTGTGCATACAGACTTTTAAAATTTTAAGACTTTTGAAATTTATAGAGTGGATGAAAGTCAACCAAGTAACGAATAGAAATAAACAAGTGCTGGTTGATATTAACGATTAGACAAGACTCAGTTAGCGATCAGAAAAAAGAAAAAAAATTGTCCTAGAACTTTAAAATGATATTGCTGCATTCGGAACGTCATTAATGAATTAAAATTACTTCCTCAAGCCTGAATTTCAGTCCACTAACGTTATGTGAAGAATATTGTTCGACCCTTGAATCTAAATCAATAAATCCTCTGGCCATCTATCGTTCGTGTTTGAACAAGCTAATTCTGCCAACTTATATCAATATACTTGTAAAAAGCTGCTTTTCCTCTGATGGCTAAAAAATATAATTGATTCAAGTGAATTCAGTTATCATAAGCGCCTAAGCATTTTTCAACTTTAAAAATTCATTAAAGTGCATTTAAAGTGCATTCAGTTTCAGTACTGATGGTTCGAGATCTAATTAAATTCTTTATGTTTTTGAAGCCATCATTGAATACTTCAGTGATAGTATCCGATCCTAAGTAATTAATCCCTGAACTCCAAATAAACTACTCAGTAAAAGTATCTGATCCTAAATAATATGATAGATTCTCTCCTCGATTAATTTGATCGCATTTCTAATTAAAAATGGAGATGCTCCATGTTAGACGCTGCAGTTGCGTAATGAATGAGCAGAGCTTCTCTCATCTCCATGGTTGTATGAATAATAAGGCTGTTCATACGCAGTACTGCAGTAGCTCAGCATAGTTCATACGCAGTACTGCAGTAGCCTAGCATAGTTCATACGCAGTACTGCAGTAGCCTAGCATAGTTCATACGCAGTGCTGCAGTAGCCTAGCATAGTTCATACGCAGTGCTGCAGTAGCCTAGCATAGTTCATACGCAGTACTGCAGTAGCCTAGCATAGTTCATTCGCAGTACTGCAGTAGCCCAGCAAAGTTCATACGCAGTACTGCAGTAGCCCAGCAAAGTTCATACGCAGTACTGCAGTAGCCTAGCATAGTTCATACGCAGTACTGCAGTAGCCTAGCATAGTTCATACGCAGTACTACAGTAGCCTAGCATAGTTCATGCGCCGTGCTGCAGTAGCCTAGCATAGTTCATGCGCCGTGCTGCAGTAGCCTAGCATAGTTCAAACGCAGTGCTGCAGTAGCCTAGCATAGTTACTTTACAGTGCTGCAGTAGCGTAACATAGTTCGCGTGCAGTTCTGCAGTAGCCTAAATGTTATCTTTAGCCTCAGGGGATTCTCTTGTATAGCACTAACATGTCCCCAAAGCGCTAGTCATAAACGGGGGATAACAAAACTATATTTTTCCATAATACGTTTTGTTTACCTTCTCACAGTAATCATAACGTATTTTACCTTGAGGCAAAGCATAATGGTTCATAAACTTGTTTCTTCCAAAGTTCTATCCCTATTGCCTAGTGTAACTCGACCTGAATTCGTTTTAATGAGGATAATAAGCCCAGTGTGGATAACTTGACGACGAATAGAGCGTTCCAACTTGAACTTTTATTGTCTGATCATCTGGTCGTATCCTGCTATTATGGCTCTTAGAAAACTATGCGATGAATTGAGCGTTTCAATGTTAACTTTTATTGTTTGATCATCAAGTCATTGCCCTGCTATTATGGCTCTTATAAAACTTTACGATGAATTGAGCGTTTCAATGTTAACTTTTATTGTTTGATCATCGGGTCATTCTTCGGCTATTGCTGTAATCAGTAACTTCACGACGAATTGAACATCTCCATTCAAACTTTTATTGTCCGATCGTTTACTTTTTCAAACCAATGACCTTGAATTGGAGATCAATCAGAAAAGTGCTTTAGTGGCGTAGTAAAGCAGATCATGTATTCTGCTAATTTAATTTACTGCAAGCGAACCGACTTACGGAAGAGGAAATATTTCTCATATATATATGGAGAATAGCAGCTGTAATTCAAAGCATATGTGGCGTTAGAGAGAAGAGTTTATGAGCTCTATGGTTTGAAGGTATAATTAAACTACTACGTCGTAATAATCAGACTATTATTAAACTATTACGTTTCCTATATTTTTACTTCTTACGAGAATATTGGTTCTATTAATGCATGACATTACTCATACGAATAGGTTCAAATTTGTCATTACAGGGAAGTCGTTTCTTGGAAACTGTTACAATCCCTATTCTGTTGTCTTGTACAACTTCTCTTACATGTAAACACTACAGGTTTTTCTTCTGACCAAAATTTATGCGTGTATTTATGTCTAAGATATTTAGCATTGCTCTACTGTGTGCTGCCATGTAAAATAACCAGTTATATTTCTTTCTCAAATACTGTTAACTGCCTTTTCATGTATGTGCCAACAGAAGTATTCGCGTCCGACAACAGTCGATACCTTTATTTATTGCTTTGCATGTCTAAACTTCCATCGCATTGTCTAGAATAAGATAATTTTGGTGCAGTAAAAAATTCTTTTGCCCGTGTCCGCAGAAGGCTCCCTATACGACAACAACAACTACCACGAAGAGTGTCTTCGGTGCAACTCGTGTGGCATCAACCTGACGGGACCGAACCAGAAGCGGGCGCGTCGCTACAAAAACCACTTCTTGTGCGACCTGCACTTCGCCGATGTGGCCCTCATGGAGACCTCGGACTTCCTGCATCAGCTTCGGTCCTTCAAGCCCCAGAGTCTCGGATGCGCCGTCGCCAGAAGAAAGTCCTCCACGACCCTCATCTTCCCTCTGCCCCCGCAGGCCTGTGCCGGTGGGTGGAGCCCTGGGTCTTGCTGTTTGGAGGAATAGGATTAGCAAATTATTGGCTGTCATTGTATCATGCTGAGTTTAAATTTTTTCGTAATGTGTGAATTCATCATTGTTCGGTTAGCATATGTCAATTAGAATACGTATAATTCAAAAATTTTTCATCGCGGCTGACCTTTTGCTTTGATATTTTGTACAAAACGTTCTATTGGTATTTTAGCTTCTTCATATCCGTTACCCGCACACGGCGAGTATTTTTGATAAGATTCTCTTTTACAGGCACGTACATGTTTCTTGTTTCAAGACAACCTCTGCTTTTCGCGAACAAGTTCCGGTCATTTTACTTTCCAAGTCTATCCTGCTTCTTGTTTCAAAACGAGTTCTGCGTTTGGCGACCGAGTTCCCGTTTGTGTTCTGCGGTCCCGTTGTGCATTTGATAAATGTGTTCCTCATTTTGTGCTCTGCAGACGAGTTCTGCTCGGGCTACCCCCACAACCTGATCCCCACCCCGGGCTACTGGATTGAGTGTTCCGGCCATGCGCTGCCCGACGACACCATTTGGGACGAGTCCGAGCCCGAGAGTGGCGACTACGAGGTCGCGTCATGCCACTCCGACCAGCCCGACCATATGGACCAGAATGTCCAGGTCAGACATCTTTATTATTGATTGTCTTGACGAACATATGGACCAGAATGTCCAGGTCAGACACCTTTATTATTGATTGTCTTGACGAACATATATGGACCAGAATGCCCAGGTCAGACATCTTGGCTAGTGACAGCTTCGACGATCATATATTTCAGAAGATACACTTTGTACAAGTCAAACATTTCGATTAGAGATTGCCTTGACAGCCACAGGCACCAGATTGTTCTTCTGTTCAGATATCCATATCTTAATAAGTGTCTGTTTATTGATGATCACGTGTTCTAGAAGATACAGATCAGACATCTTGATTGAGTTTTTCATTATGGTCATATAGTATAAAGAGTGTCTTGTTCAGATACAGGGTGATTCACTGAAACTTCCTGATTTTAAATATCAATAAAAGAAAAACTAGTAAAGATATCATTACAATATAAATTTTATTGAAAAGGCCTCACCTGAATTTTTTTATAATTTAGTTTTAAAAATGCACCGCTCAAATGACGGCCTCCATTGTCAGTGAATGCATTCAGTTAATCAATTTTTTGAAGTTCCGTTCAACGCGTTAAAGCATATTGACGGGTATGTTGGCGATGGCTTGGCGTATGTTGTTCTTCAAATGAGGTAGGGTTCTTGGACAGTCATTGTTAACAACTGATTGAAGATAACCACATAAAAAATTATACGGAGCCAAATCGGGGGTTCGGGCGAGCTAGTAGAGTACGGAATGCTCATTGGGTAACGATAATGGAACGGCCATTGACAAAGTACGCCTCGACAGCAAATGCACGCTGCTCACTTGTCCAATGCATCGTGGCAACTGACTGATTAGGCGGGACACAAAACTTCATGACCTGGCATTTTGTATGAAATACTCTACGCCTTTTTCCCATAACATCTGTCAAATGTAGAAAATTTCCGTGAATCATCCTGTATTTATCGTGATTAGTGAAAGTTTCTTGACTGCCATGGGTAACTTTCATGTACAGATCGTTACCGATTACAGTTGAGATGCCTATTGAACTTTCCTAAGTTTATTTAGATTTAAAATAGTGATTATCGTCCCTATTTGGTTCCTAGTTTATATGTTTGAGTGCATTCACTAGCATCACTCACCACTGCCGCTGGCATAACCGAGAGACTTAATCATTAATTGATATATTACGGTCTTAATTAATAATCGATATCTTTATGTGTTCATATTAAGGTGCTAAACATTCTTCCCCTCGGGTATCAGTTAATCATTGATTCATTCAAGTTTTAATCATCGATTTTTTTCTGGCATTAATCATCGATCCCCTCAGATATTAATCATAATTATCAATCACCTCAGGTTTACCCCGGAGGTCAAGTCCCACTCATCAACGAGCCATCGAAACAAAAGACGTCGATCCAGGAGCAGTGGGAGCGCAACGGGCAGTTCGAGCTCACTAGCATTGAGCAGGAGACTTACGAGCGTTACTTCTACGGCAGTGAACATTGGAACTATTTTACCCAGGACGATGACTTAGGTCCTGTCATACTCTCCCTCAAGCAGGAGACCACCAACGGCAGGGACCAGTTTAGGTGAATAACGTCTGATGATCTTCAATATTATTCATGAGTATTTTGAATTTGCTCGATTTTTTAATTAAGAATATTTGTTATCACAGTATTGCGTTGATCATGCACATTGCCCATGGTACAGGCATTGAATTTCAACTCACACCTTAAAAGGAAATTTTTTTTAATTTTTTCATAATCAAAAGCTAGCTTGTGTAGCATGTAAAACAATCACATAAGTAGGTTCTTGAGTTTAAAACACTGCGGTGGTGGCGGTAACATCGATTGGCGGTTCTGCCAATTAATTTAATACACTCATGACCTTTAATACACTGCCGCAGGATCATGATACGCACAATCTCTTTAATACGCTAATGGCTTTAATACACGGCCGCAAGATCATTGTGCGTGCAATCTTTTAATTCGCTCATGACTTTGATACACTGCCGTGATGGCGGCAGCATCATAAAGTACACAATGTTATTAATACCGCCAAGACTTCAATACGCTGCTTTAGGATTATGGTGCACAAAAGTCTTTTATGCGTTCACTACTTCAATTCACTGCGGCAGAATCATGGTGTACCATCTTCTTAATACGTTCACGACTGCAATACACTGCAGCAGAATCATGGTTCTTAAAATATTTTTAATACGTTCACGACATTAATACACTGCTGCTGACTCATGGTGCACCATTTTTTAATACGTTCACGACATTAATACACTGCTTTAGGGTCATGGTGCTTAAAATCTTTTTAATACGTTCACGACATTAATACACTGCTTTAGGGTTATGGTGCTTAATATCTTTTTAATACGTTCACGACATTAACACACTGCGGTAGGATCATGATGCAAAATTTTTTTTATACGTTCACGACATTAATACACTGCGGCAGGATCATGATGCAAAATTTTTTTTATACGTTCACGACATTAATACACTGCGGCAGGATCATGATGCAACATTTTTTTAATACGTTCACGACATGAACACACTGCGTTAGGATCATGGTGCTTAAAATTTTTTTAATTCGTTCACGACATTAACACACTGCCGCAGAATCATAATGCACCATTTTTTTAATACGTTCTCGACATTAATACACTGCGGCAGGATCATGATGCAACATTTTTTTAATACGTTCACGACATTAATACACTGCGGCAGGATCATGGTTCGTGGCATTATTTTTGATACGTTCACGACTGCAATACACTGCCGCAGGATTATGGTGCAACGAATTTTTAATACGTTCACAACATTAATACACTGCCGCAGGATCATGATGCACCATCTTTTTAATACGTTCACGACATTAACATACTGCGGCAGGATCATGGTGCTTAAAATCTTTTTAATACGTTTACGACATTAATACACTGCGGCAGGATCATGGTTCGTGGCATCTCATACACGGTGCACGGTATGGTGCCGGCGTCGTGCGTGTTTGCGGACCGGTAACATAGACAAGAAAATAGAGCGTAAGTACTTACGTTCACTTGGCAAGTTTTGAAAGTATGGTCCCTCCAGCACATGAAGTATTGTGGAAAATCCTCAGCCATATCCCCTGGATCATCAGACAATACCACTGCAATACCACAATTCATGAGCGTGACAACGGTCATGTTGTAATATATAATATTAATGCAATGACGCAATTCATGAATACTATGTATTAAGATAAGATATTAAATGGAAAAAAACTTGTGCATATATTGAAGATTTCATGCATGTTGAAGTTTAGCCAGATATTTATTCAAAATAATTTTGATCACTTAAGCATAAGTTGAACATGTTTTGGTTCAACATTCGTGGAATCTAATATCATGAGTTCAAAATTAATGTGTTTGACAGGTCAAGCAATGAAGGTTTCTACCTAAATTTGCTGAACCTATGACGAGGTTTCAAAATTATAGCGACCAATATGTATATTTGAGATCAAAATTCAGCAAAAAAATCTGAGTATCCAACATGCTTTTTATAGGTTGAACAAGTACTATTATATGAGTAGAAATTCAAGGACTAAGGCTCAGAAATAAAATGCTATGAGCGTAAATTACGTTGGACCAAAAGCGGTTATATAATTAATTTTGAATTAAAATAAACATAATTGAGCCTTGCAGCGCATCACCTGCGGCTTCTGCCTCTAGGAAGGGAGATGCTGAATTAGGGGTTGGGGTTCTCTCCAAATTTAACGAGCACAGCAATTAAATGATTAATAATAATTAGTGAATAAACAGGAGCGTTACCAGCGTAACCAGCATAAAGAATATAAAAACAGAATTTCATTGCCTATCATCGAATTGAGTTCTTTGATAGCAAAAAATTCGTAGCCATGAATTCAGACTAAATATCCATCGATTATTGTTTGTGATTTGATAAAGACTCGTTTTGTTATCAGATAATTTATACTGAATCGTGATGATGATCACCACAACGTCACTCGACTGAGTGCCGCCCAGGCCCACCCCCCTCCGGAGCGCCGAGCCGGTCTTGCCACACTCTGATCAGTTGTTATCAATTTATTAACGACGTTTCGAATGTAACAACATTCATTTTCAAGTTACAGGAAGCATTGAATACAGAAATTTTGATGGAAATAAGTACATGTTACATGTAAATAGGATACAACAAGAAATTTTGGAACCGCGAAAATAATTTCGAAACAATCTCAAAGCTTAGAAAATCAGGTACATTTATTTATACATTTATTTGTACATATAAATGAATATGTATAAGGTAAATAATCGCAATTAATCGAACATGCGAATCGAAAAACATGAGTTTTGGAGCTTGTACTCACTTACATAGCCTGCATTTATTCCGCTGGGACTTGTCACACGTTGCGCCGAGACGACATGCCAGCGTCTGAGCTTGGTGAGCGTATGGTATGGTATGGCCTGACCAGCTGTTTATTTCAGGCGTCATTCGACCCTTATGTTTTTTGTTGAAAAAAAACCTAAAAAGGTTCTTAGCTATCGGCTGGAAACAGGGCGTTGCGGATTCACGTCTGTTTTTTCAGTCGAATATGGCGGG